GACGATACAACAAGTGTTTCGAAAAACAGAGTTCATAAGATTTGATTGACGTGCCCTCAGCAGGTTTATATTTTTTGGCTAGCAAAACAAAATTGTAAGCATTTCACTGCATATTATTCTATAATATTGAAAATAAATAAAGCGTACTAATGTTTACAAAATTGAAAAATAATTAAAATTCAAATGTTTTAAGGCAGATTTTCAAACATATATTTCAACCGCCTATTGTATCGTGTCGTTCACCTTCATTCGCTTAGTCACCATTTTGCCAGATATTTTGGCGCCAAAATTGGTCCGCCATTGGGGGTTCAAATCCGGCTTGGGGCAAGGGACCCCTTCGAATTTAGTTTCCTTACACGGTATACTACTTCTGTACATTTTGATAAAAAATATATAAAAATTCAAAAGTTCAGAGCGTAAAAAGCGGATGGCGATTTGCAGAATAAGTCATGTAAAAAGTTATGATTGGTGACTCTTGCTTCTGACTTTTCAATTCATAGTTTTGAGGCAAGATTATACAAAACACTTTTGTTGTCAAAACTTACCTTTTCCAATGGTTTTGGCATCGCAAAAACCGGCATTTGAAGAATTAGCGTGCAGATGGGAAAACTTAGGTGTGTTGAAGAGTTAGCGGATTTGGAGTAGGGGCGGGGAGTGCGAACGCTCCACCCTAAAAGATTCGATACACTTACCAACTTATCAGCCGGATAGATTCGTGCAACTTCTTAGTCTAATACCAATCTTAATCTTACTCTTATATCTCTTAGTCTCATTAGATCTAGTGTATACTGGTATTTGCGGGTTAGGTTTATGAAATTGTCCAAAGGAGAACAACTGTCTTCTAAGATTTATTCAAATTGATTATAAAATAGAATTAAAATTTTTTTTCCTGAAATTTGAAAAATTTTTATGAAAATCATCCCCCCACACACCATATAAAATACAAAAAGATAAATTTCGCTCCTAGTAACAAATCAATTATGAAAAATAAGCTTCTTTCAAACAATTTGGAGCAATTTTAAGACGGATTAACTCTCCGCTTACGCGTTAATAGCGCGAAATATATCGCGCGTTAATTGTCCCAAATTGGCAAAATGGCAATCTTTAAACCCCAATAACTTTACGAAAAAAGATCACAGGTGAAATATCTTTTCAAATTTGAGCTCAAGACAATAATACTTTTTGAATGATATAAAAAAAATTCCGTCAAAAGTAGCTAGTTAAAAAGTCAAAACTTGTCTGAAAAAAAAAAAAAACCCACCCCAAGCACAAATATTCCGTTACTTTCGTATCGAAAGTCGGAACAATAATCAAATGGCCAAAATATGTTGTTTTGCTGCTGCTGCCGCTGGAAAATTAGCGCCAATTACTCGAAACCATCTTTGCAAAGAAAATCAGAAAGTCGTCCAGTTGCTTATGTCTGGTTTTTTTCTGTATCTAATGATTTTCTTATTAGCGGAACACTTGTCTGTCTGTTGATATATTTTAAATACGGATGGCTATCTAAAAAATTTATTAGCAGTATCAAAAACCTTCATTGCTGTGTTAGGATTTAACGGCTCAGCCGACAATCCCTGGGTTGACGTCTGCAGAACACAAAACAAAAATTCTGTCATATCAATTTGACTTATAATCGCAAGCGTACTAAAGACTTAGAAATTCGAAGTTGTTTTACTGCTTTATGAAAGCAAAAAAAGCCCTGAAATCTTTTTTTTTCTAAAGACCGAAGGCAAGGAGAAAAGCAGACACCACTTACCAGAAGTTTTTGTTATCTTTTAAATAAAAATTTCGAGTTATTTTTTTTAATTTTTAAAGTCATTGTCTGAAAAACCGGTAAAACTCATTCATTGAACTAATTTTCACATTTCTGATACTAGACAAGTTGTTCGACTTTAATACATATCGCCTTTTGCCGTTCTTCAAAGTCAAGTCCCTCGTTCTTATTTCTGGCTAAAAAATAGTATTCAGATTAGGCCGACTGTATTTCAATGCTTATACGGTCAATAGTGTGTTCTTTACTATTGTTTCGATTTTCGTAACGAACGTAACGGAACATTTGTGCTCGGGGTCGGTTTTTTCTTCTTCAGACAAACTTCGACTTTTTAACTAGCCATTTTTGATGGAATTTTTTTACATCATTCAAATAGTTTTGTTGTCCTGAGCTTAAATTTGAAAAAAAAACATCGCCAACTTGCTATTAACGCGTAAGAGAAGATTTAATACTTTTTAGAAGTCGTTCTAAGTTGGTTGAAGGAAGCTTACTTGCCTCAACTGATTTGTTACTAGGAGCAAAATTTATCACTTTGTACTTTAAATGGCGTGTGGGGTGATGTTTTTCACAAAAAAAATCTCAATTTTTTTTTTTAATAGTTTTTCTTTTCATTTTTTTTACATTTAATTTTTTTTCACGTTTTTTTTCTGCTCCATAGACTTTAAAAGGCAGTCTGAACATCCAGGGCTTTGCACTGATACGAGCAGTTTTTTTGCGTTTGCTAATGTCTTCTCTATAGCAAATAGCAAATGTATGTACAGATAAAGCTTATATATTTTTTTTCGAATTCGTAGGGTACATAATTTTTAAGTTCAAAAGATTTCTAAAGGCTCTAATCTGCGTCATAACAACAATTTTCATATAAGTAATTGCCAGACCATGAAAAAGCACTCCATGTTATATCAATATTACTATGTAAGCTTCATCTGGTTATAAAGAAATTTCTTTGACTCAAAAATAATTTAAGGCGACATATTTTACCTGAGAGCGAAAAAAAATTAAATTAATCGTAAAAGTTGATTTTTAAGAGTGTTGTCTTTTCTAGGTCCTTCATATTTCAATTTGCTTTTGAAATCTAAGGTTTTTGTTAGTTACATTTTTTTACGAAGTTTTGGCTCGAATTGAAGAACTTGACCTCATCCTTCATTGAATCAATGCATTTTGCTCTGAATCCATGACGAAACGCGATGTAGTTCATGTGACGTTGATTCGCCTTTCAATAAGGCAAAACAATGTTGTGTACCACCGAAAATGGTTATTTTGTTGTTGATACTTTAAAAAGATCTTCTTCATAAAACAGAAGAAAAAAACTCACAACCTAACCTTAGACGCGCCCACACTTTATCTAATGCTTTTTGGATAACTATTTTTCAGTACTATTATACTAGTATCTGTTTTCAAGGTATGACATGCCGATGCCTTGTTTTTTTGTATCGATATGCATCTTTAATTTGATTTAAAAATCGTTGTTTAAGTTTTAGATAACTGTTTCTCAATATTAATCTATCAGTATCTGTTTTTAATGTTGACTTACGGCGGCCATGTATTGTGTATTGATATCCAAATCGAAAACTTTTTGCATTAAGCATTGTAAAAAAGTGAGTACTCACTAGTGTCACAAGCTACGGACAAGCCTATACATGTATGTTTGACGTTATTTTGTCGGAAAAATTGTTTCAAATGGTCTCAACGGCTTCCAAATTTGAGTCTAACATCGAGTTTTTTTTTATTGATATCCAATTTGATTTGGCGTAAAATTTAGGCGTACTGAAAACTGAAAGAAAAGAGACTGGCCTAGAGTTTCCGCCTTCAACTTTCGGTTCATCTTTTTTCACTAAATAGAAAGCACGTATTACTCTTGCAACTTTTGAAGCTCAAGGAAATTACTGCTCCACAAAGCGATGATTAAAAAACCTAGCGAATTAACCACGTAGAGCAGGATTTATTATTTTGAGTTCATAATTATTGCAATCTTCACAGTCCGCTGATGCTTTGCTTTTTAAATTTTTGTTCACTAAAAGTCTTATTTCTACAAAAGTCTTTGGCTTGGTCACTGTGTTAACAATTTCTAAACTCATTGATAGTTCAAAGCTTTTGTAGTGTTTCCCTTTTTTCACGAAAAAAAAATTCATTGTAATTGGATTGAATTCATTGTAATGGGATTGAGCACCATCTATTTCGCAAACTAATTGAATTTAACAATTAGAAATGCCCTTTGACTTGTTTATTTCGATTTTAAAAAATTGGTTTTAACGGTCTTGTTTAAAAAAAATTTTTTTCACTTTTTATCGTTTTATTTTTAATGTTCGCCCAATCTTAATGACTAGGAAAAAGTAATTTTTTTCTCGAGTTTTATCAATCAATGCTTTTAACAAGATTTGAAACAATTTTGAAGTTAAGTAACCATTGGACATAAAAAAATTTTCCCATTTAATTTTAAATCTTTGTAAATCAGATAATCAGATTAGAGGTCTGACTGAAGGTCGGACTGAAGTATATCGATGCGCATGTTTTCTTATTTGAAAATAAAATCTTATTCCTAACAAGACTGCTCGTATCAGGGCGAAACCCTGAATGTTCCGACTGCCTTTTAAGATTTATGGAGCAGCAGTAATAACATAAAAACATTATATGAAATAAAATAAAATAAAAATTTTTTTTTCTAAAATTTGAAATTTTTTATGAAAATCATCCCCCAACACGCCATATAAAGTACAAATAGATAAATTTCGTTCCTTGTAACAAATCAATTATGGCAAATAAGCTTCGTTCAACCAATTTGGAACGATTTACATGACGGATTAAATCTCCGCTTACGCATTAATAGCGCTAATTATATCGCGCGTTAATTGTCACAAATTGGTCAAAATGGCCAAAATGGCAATATTTAAACCCTCATAACTTTACGAAAAATGATCACAGGTGAAACATCTTTCCAAATTTAAGCTCAGGACAACAATACCTTTTGAATGATATAAAAAAATTCTGTCAAAATGGCTAGTTAAAAAGTCGAAATTTGTCTGAAGAAAAAAAAACCCACCCCGAGCACAAATATTCCGTTACTTTCGTATCGAAAGTCGGAACAACAACAGCGCCAAATGTGTCTTCAGTTTTCAAATAACCACATTGAGGGTGTGATATCGGGGCAAAATTGTTTCAGTAGAGCTTGAAAATATGGTGAGAAACAACTATCTATGTTGTAGATTTAGCTGCTTCTCTTGTTGGGCCGCTTATTAAATGTATTTTGCCCTACAAAAAAATATCCTGAGAATTTTTCTGATGTTTCAGCTTTTTTAAATGGAAGCCAATTTTCTTAAGTGAAGCATAATCATAAATTGAACAGTACGCTTTCCGTACATTACAGTACATTTAAGTGACTGAAAAGAAAACGTCTGGATAAAGCAATTCAAAAATCTATTTCCCTAAAAAATTTTGAGTTCAGTTCTACATGTCTCGACGGTTTAGAAAATCACGGAGCAGAATAGGAGAAATATGTGAAAACATTTTGTACCTATTTTTGTGAATAGTTCTACTGTAAAAACCAGTCAAGTATTAAAGATGAAAAATTTTCAGATCAATTTGAGATTTTGTAAGTTTTATAATCAGAAGCATCCTAGGACCTAATGCAGAAAAATTTTCGTAACATTCGAGGACCTATTACACAAAAGTTTTTGCAACACAATTCCGAACGTTTTGTTTAATAGTTGTCCATTCAGACTTCTTGAAAAACTGAATGACTTCTTACCAGTAACAAGGACAAACAAACAAACAATAAAAACTATCAAATCAGGTCATCAATAAAAGCCAATTGCATATTTCAGTGCCGATTTGAGAGCGAAAAAGCAAATGAAACAGTAAACTTGGCGTCTCAAATTTCTCGCATTTTAAAACGCTAGAAAACATTTTCGAAACAAACGTTTTAAACCTAAATTTAATTCGGAAAATAGTCAGAAACAACTATAGTACAACTATAGAACAAACTATTGGTATAACTTTCACTAAATAAAAGGCAAAAACAAACATCACGGCAGTTTTTCATTCAAAAACGATACAAAAGGGAAATTTCTTGCCATTCTATCAAAACAGCAACTATTTTGAATCGCATATCTTGGGACAAGTAGATGCAATCTTGCAAATGAAAATATAGCAACGAAAGATGAAAGGTTCTGAGACAATTTTATTTTTCAATTTTTTTTTGAAAATTAAAAAAAAAATCAGTGGCGGCTCTGAAAAAATTCAGATTGGATACTTAGTTGTTTTTGATTCAAAGGCCCTCGAAAACATCTCCTAACGAGAGCCGCCTAACATTGTCTCTACTACCAACAAAGAGTTCTCAGAATGACTCAACAACAAAAAAATCAACATAAAAAATGCGGAATTGATAGAAAAAACTAAATGAACCTAATATTCATCTTTTGCTTCAGTAATTATTTTATATTAAATTTATGTCCTAAAACTTATGTTGTCATGTGTTAAAAATTGTGTTTTTCCTATTTTGTGAGATTAAGGTAACAATTGTCGATCAAAACTTAAACATAGCCGCCAATCATAAAAAATCCGAAATTTTTAAAAGCTTTTTGGGGGCCTTGCTAAGATTGATTCCTCCTTCCACGAACGCTACTCGGTTGTATTCGCGTTTAAAGCTATTTTTGCCAAGAGAGTAGACTCCTAAATGATCTTGCCCAAAAAAGTTATCCTTAACGGAGTTTATCTGGCAAGATCTTGCAAAAATCTTGCAAAAGCTTTCAAAGGGATGCATCTTCTTTTACAGAATCTTAGAAGTTTTTCGCAAGATCTTACAAGATGAACTCCCTTGATCGACTAGGGGAGTTTCTGCATGTTTAAGTACCCTTTTACTGATTTGGAGCCCGAGTCACCATTTCGATTATGCAGAATAAACTTCATCTGAGGCAAATGGAATTAGCAGAATAAAAATTAAAATCAACCGTTGAGTAATTGTTCCGACTTTCGATACGAAAGTAACGGAATATTTGTGCTCGGGGTGGGTTTTTTTTTCTTCAGACAAATTTCGACTTTTTAACTAGCCATTTTGACGGAATTTTTTTTAGATCATTCAAAAGGTATTGTTGTCCTGAGCTTAAATTTGAAAAGATATTTCACCTGTGATCATTTTTCGTAAAGTTATGAGGGTTTAAAGGTTGCCATTTTGGCCATTTTGACCAATTTGGGACAATTAACGCGCGATATAATTCGCGCTATTAACGCGTAAGCGGAGATTTAATCCGTCTTATAAATCGTTCCAAATTGGTTGAACGAAGCTTATTTGCCATAATTGATGTGTTACAAGGAACGAAAACTATCTTTTTGTACTTTATATGGCGTGTTGGGGGATGATTTTCATAAAAAATTTCAAATTTTAGAAAAAAAAATTTTTATTTTATTTTATTTCATATAATGTTTTTATGTTATTACTGCTGCTCCATAAACCTTCAAAAGCAGTCGGAACATTCAGGGCTTTGCCGTGATACGAGCCGTCTTGTTGTAATTTGCTCTCATTTGTAATATGCTCACTTCTGCTCTCATTTCTGGACAAATAAATTTTGGTAAAACTTGTTCTCATTTCTTCTGAGATAATCTGTACCACAGTGATTTTTCTTCTTTTAAGAAACGGCGAGCTAGGTTGAATTTATCGATATAATTAATTCTCAAAAATAAGATACAACGCGTATATCTTAACTTTCAGTTAATTTAAGTTTTTGGGAGTAACTATAATTTAAGTATTTCAAACAACAAAGTTTATCTGACGTTAGTATCCTCTTTTTATATTATTCTTTGAATTTCTATAATTTTCTACAGTATTTTATTTTCTAGACGTTTTATGTGACTAAAAAATAAATGATTGGATTTTTTGAGAGTTTTTGAATAAGTTCTCATTTTAAAGGTGCTGTCTGCAACATACTTGCAACATAATTGCAGCATAAAACTCGAAACGTGCAACATCAAAAACGTGCAACATCATTTTTTTCAATCATACTCAAACTAAAGTGCTGATTTCAATTATCGGGTCATAACGAACAAAATTTGGAAATTCAAATGCGTTTTTTTTTTCAAAATGGGTTAAGTTTAGACTAAAAGTGAATTGAAATAAAGTTGTCTAGAGTTTCACCAGAATTAGTTTTTTGCAGTTTTCAAACAAAATCAGACCCAAGTTTTCACCCCCAAATGGGTAATTTTTTTAGTTGATCAAGAATTACGCTGAAACTTTCAAATTAATGGATGATTAATAAGAAATTTGTATCAAAAGAAGCTTCTTATACAACCCAACTAACTTTTAAAAGGTTAATTTTCCACTGTGTAGGTGAATATGTTTATTTGTCATGTGTTAAAAATTGTGTTTTTCCTATTTTGAGAGATTAAGGTAACAATTGTCGATCAAAACTTAAACATAGCCGCCAATCATAAAAATCCGAAATTTTTTAAAGCTTTTTGGAGGCCTTGCTAAGATTGATTCCTCCTTCCACGAACGCTACTCGGTTGTATTCGCGTTTAAAGCTATTGTTTGATAATAAGTTTGGTGAAATTCTAAGCAACTTTTGTTCTCTTCATATTTTGTCTCATGTTCAGCTAATTTGAGAAAACGTGTTTAAAGTTTGCAATTTTGTTCGTCTGTGCCGATTAGTTTAAATCAGCGCTATAGAACCTAGTAAATGGAAAGATTTAAGTCCATATAGTTAAAAAAACAACTATAGTTGAAATTCACCATAGTCCCCAAAAATGATGTAAGGTTTCAGCCCGAAGGTCAAAACCTCGCTTTCTAGTGAATAATTGGACTAAAGCAAGTTGTAATTACACGTTTATATCTTTTGCTGTCGTCATGTTTTCTTTCTTTTGGTTAAAAATTATACATATGTTTTGTATTGGGCTATTTTTCCCTTCATTACATAATTTATTGGACTAATTTGTATTGGACTATTTTGTATGGGACTGTTTTGTGTATGCACCATGTACTTAAGTCATGCACTTTTCACTATAGGGCAGCAAGCAGAAAAAGAGGGTTTTTTGATAAGATATGCCACCAGATTTGCCTTATCAACAAACAATACAGTTCAAAGAGGGCGTCGATCCAAGATCTGGGGACAGATATTCAAAAAAATGATTTTTTGGACCATTTTTTGTAGTTCGACAAGTTCGTTTTACGTGCTTTTTCAAAACAGTATAGAGACCCTGTTTTGACAAAGTTTACGCATTTGCAAGTAGATGTATGTGTTCGGAGGTATGCGCTGTAGTTATTGTGGGATTGTTTTTGATAACAAGTATAAACTTAAAGAACATGCTGAAAAGTTAGAAACGGCAGCGAAAACATTGTGCATGATCTCTTTGAAGATATATTTTATTAAGACACCCAGTTGATGACAATATATATTAACTAAATTAAATCTACTTATCAGAGCAGTCCTGGTCAATGGCACAGTTATTAAGTCAGACCACGTCAAACTAGAATAAAAACAAAGACGAATTTGGAAAACTGTTATAGATTATCAAATTTTAAAGCATCAAACGTTTGAAAGAGGCTCATAAAGTTTGCGAAATCCACCAAGTGCTTGCATATTATCTACTCAATAAATAAACTCACATGGCAAATAAATTATTAAAAACAATTTCAGATGCTGATGAACAAGGAAAGAAAATAGGAACAAGGAAAGAAAAAATTTGAAAAAACCTTGGACAATATATCAGAAACAATGGCGTTTCAAGTAGTTTAACAAAAATAATTTAAGAAAGTCAATATAATCAATTAAGAAGAAATAAGGAACATCAAAAAAGTGAAAAAATGGTGATATATTACAAGAGGTGGTAGGTTCAATTTTAATAGCTGGATCGCTTTTTGAAATATTTCGCTCATAATTTGTTTCAAAAGCCACATTTTTTGGCAAAAGATTGTCAGGGGCTACAATGTTCAGTTGTCATTCATCCTAGTTGCTATTTCTTTATCTACTTATCTCTGAGAGTTCTCACACTATAATTAAGTGTGAGTTTGGTACCTGCCTGTCAATCAGCCTAGAACTGTCTAGCTGTTATGCGTTGACCTCTAGTTCACTCTCTTATTGATGCGAACTAGAATACAGTCAATTCACTATTTAACAGCCATCGTTTTATCATTTCTTGTTATGGCGCAGCCAGTGGATGGAGGGGGGAAAAACCCCCTTGGAATTGTGGCCTTCTGGCCTCCGAATCAGGCGGAACCACAACTCTTATGGGAACACTGGAAACAACGATT